CTTCTCTCCCCCCTTCTCTCTCCTCTCCCCTTCTCTCTCCTCTCCCCTTCTCTCTCCTCTCCTCTCTTCTCTCTCCCCTTCTCTCTCCTCTCCTTTCTCCTCTTCTCTCCTCTCTCCTCTCCCTTTCTCTCGTCTCTCCCCTTCTCCTCCTCTCCTCTTCTTCTTCTCTCCCCTTCTCTCTCCTCTCTTTTCTCCTCCTCTCCTCTCTCCTCTCCCTCCTCCTTCCACAGGTCAACCTCAACAACATCAAGAGGTGTTTGCTCGTCAGCTACGACGCAGAGACGCAGCTCCTCGATTTCAGACATTAGTGAGTGTCCTGCTCCTGATTTTGGGGCACACCCTGCACCCCGTGTCCCAGCGCTGACCTCTTCCTCCTCCTCCTCCTCGCAGCAGCGTGAAGGTCGTGCCCGTGGGTGTGAGCAAAGGCCTGAAGAAGCTGCTGCAGGAGAAATTCCCCAACATGAGCCGCCTGGAAGACATCAGCGAGCTGCTGGTGAAGTGCGTGGGGGGACACCGAGGCGGACAAGGGTCCCAGAGGTGCCTTCCAGCCCATCCCCAAACGCATTCCTGTCCCCTGGCAGAGACATAAACCTCTCGGAGAGCGAGGCCGAGCAGGATGGGACCCACAATGTCCTGGAGCTGCCGCAGGCGTACGCCGGCCGAGGCAACATGAAGGCGCAGCAGAGCGCCGTGCGCCTCACCGAGGTCCGTGACGGCGGTGACACTGTGGTTGCCATCGCCCCGGGGATGCGATCGAGCCTGACCGGGGCTCTCCGCATCCCCTCCGTCCCGTAGATCGGACCCCGCATGACTCTGCAGCTCATCAAGGTGGAGGAGGGCCTGGCACAGGGCAACGTGCTCTACCACAGCTTCAGTGAGTGCCGCAAAACGCCGTCTCCGGTAGCTCGCCGACGCGGGAGCTGGGGCGTCTCACCCTCCTCTTCCCGTGTGTTTAAGTCCACAAGATGGAGGCGGAGGTGAAGGAGATCCTGGCGCGGAAGGAGGCGAAGCTGCAGCT